ACCAATTAAATTTGAATAAAAATGCAATGCACATAAATCCAGAGTGGTGTGGAAGTGAGATGCACGGACTGCCAAATGAGGCGCAACCACTTATGGCTTTTGCCAGGATACGCCAGGACTCGACCGGACTCGGCACCACTTGGCACCCGACGACACGCATCCTGTCACGCATTATAAGTTTATTATGTGCCTTTGGCCTCGCTGCACTCGGCTCTCGATCCTGGCTCCATTTTGGATACGGATGCGGGCACGGCATCCGGTTGGGGTCTATCCTGCGACTACAACTGCATAATTTGCCATTCGCTTTTACTCTGAAATAAATGTGCATAATTTGTCGACATAAATCCCAGGCGTCTACTGGCCGGAGTGGGTTTTATTCCGGAGTGGAGCGGCACGATTCGAATCCAATGGAATCGATGGGTGTTGGGTTCGTGGTTTGGCTGCAGCTAATTTCCTGCCTAATTGAGCGCATTGCCAAACAAATTTGTGCTGAAGTTACATTTGCAAAAGTTCACCACACTTTTCTTCGGCGGAAAGGGACTGAAAGTTGCCACGTTTCAATTTAAAACTTTTAATAGTAACTGTACCGAATTGTGTCAAAATACCTTAGCTATTTATAGCTACTTTTGAATTGTACATAAGATACGCTGCTCTAAAAAAAGACAAAAAAGATAATATAATTATGGAAATTCAAGATCAAGAAACAATTCTATTTAATAAAGAAATTTCTCCTATTAAATTTAATGTAGGAGGAGCTGCTATATTAGCTGATCTTAATAAAAATCATCATAAAGTTATAGCAGGTATATTTAAATTACAGAATGGTAAATATATTGCAAAATTTGGTATTTGATGGGTAACCCAAGCATATACAACTTTTAAGCTATTAATATATTCATTACTGGTGTATGTTTTTTGTAAGCTAATTAAATTTGCATAGCACTTCAAAGTATGGCTTGAAACCTAAGTTTCAGTTTAAACTATTCAAAAGTCCTAAGACATATCGATCTGAAGCAGAACCTCGCTGAGCTGCTTGAAATTTGCAGCAAACCAACTCGACTGTGCCATATCTTTAATTTACATTTAGTTTTTCTTTGCCCTTGCGTGGCTCGGACTGGGCTAGCTGGCATTCGAAAACCGACTTGACTTTCAAATTGGTCCTGCCGGAGAAACACAACCGATGGCCGCCCACCAGCAGGTCCTGCCAGCAGCAGAAGTGACCTTCGAGTGCCAAGCCGAAACCATATCAAGCAGCCAAACCAGAAATGCAACAGTTCAAACAAGAGCGGGCAAAAAGGTAGTTACTCAAAACTAAAAACTTTCTGTGCTGCCTAATGCAAGGGTAAACACGCAGGCCACGCCCCCCACAATCAGGATCTGGTGGCGCAGGACTGGTGTAGACTCCAGTTTTGGGGGAAGCATAACATTTCGTAATTGAGGCGCAAGTTTCTTATAGCAGGATACCAGTATGGGTATGAATACGAATACAAATACGAGTACAAGCAAGTTCACATGCAGCCTCGTCTTGCCACAACGCTTTGCATGACTGCCACACAATGCCACACATGTGAAGATTAGAAAGTGGGTGGTGGATTGGCGAGCAGATGGGTGACGGACGGGCGCGGAGACGCCAACGCGTCCTTGAGCGCACTTTTCTGCCACTTGCCTTCTATTTGTAATTTTAACGAGCTTGCTTTGGCTTTGCTTTTGTTTTTTACCCGCTGAGCTGAGCTGAACTGAGCTGCTGATGTTGCTGCTGTTTTGCTTACTGTGTTTGTGCAGCTCGACGAGTGGCGAGCACTTGTGCAATATTTGCAGCAGGCGCTCAAAGGACTCTGCCCGCCTTGTTTTTGCCAGCCAGCCAGCCAGCCAGATCTGCCCCTTTTGCGCGTGTCTCAAAAGAAAACGTATTTCCTTCAGCATTTCCTGGCTGTCTCGCTGTGCATTTGAAGAAGATTTGATATGGAACAGAGACGCACACACTCACTGCCAAAAACACAAAGCCATCAACTGAAAACTCTTTTTCTTCCCGCCCTCGGCAATTTCCGGCGGAAGCGCGAAAAACTTTTTCAGGTATTTAAGTGGCCTCCACTGTGCCCGGCAAGTTGGCAAAATTCCCTAGGCCAACTACTTACTTTGGCCCATTCACCGCATTCAAGATCTTGGCGTCTGCTCCTCCTCCTTGCGCCATTCCTCAATGTGCACACTTCCGTTTCCGGCCTTGGGCGTCGAGTTTGCCAGAGCGCAGGAAGGGGGCAGCAGCAGCAAAACAAGCAGCTTACTACTCGTAAGTATTTCTAATCGTAATAGACGTCCAGGCATAGTTCATTAAAAATTGAATGAAGCGGCAAACTTTCCATATAACGCCGAGTGTTAGGCTACAAAAACTGGCGTCTCTCTAGCTCAGAACGATAAAACTATGTGTAGCAATTAAAAGCAAAATTAAACGCTTTTTTTTGGATCAAAATAGTTAGTTAGTTTCAGTTGAAAGCTATAACAATAAGAAATAACTTTGTTTAGCCAGTATATCTCATTATCCCACTTGGGCTCACCAATATCGTTTTCAAAAAAGTGTATACACGGATATGTACAACCGAAATGTCCTTAAGCAGGGAACATACTAATGATTTGCATATGTCTTTCGACTGTCGGGACATGGCATGAAATACGATTTCGTATTTACTTTTACAGCAAATTGCTTTTAGTGGCTGCGACTTGGACGCGCCTAACAAATTATGTAAGCGTTCTCGATGTCCTCGCTGTGTGCGAAATGTGTGGTTGTGGCGTCTGATTTATGTACGCTCAAGAAACACTCGAGACTTTCGCCGAAATAGGCCTGAAACCGAAGTCAGGCACTAGTCACCTTCTCACTCATAAGCCAATTTTAATTAATGCAAAGCATTTTAGGTGAAGTGGAAATGCGGGAAAATGCAATAAGCGGATAGAATTCGGGGGAGCAGAAACTGTGTCAGGGAAAATGCGGAATTTGCCATTTGCCAGGCGAAAAGAATGCAAAGGTATTTCGCCTTTTGCTGGGCAAAAGTCGACCGAATACGGATCTAAAATGAATGCAATGAGCTGACGTAAAAAATATAAATCGCCTTCCAAGCTCATCAGGTAACTTTTCAACGGGTTTTTTATTCATGAAAATTTCGAATTTCAGATTACAGATGCAAATTTCTACGAGGAAGCTAAGCATCAACGTCATAAAAAGCAAGCAGCTAAAAAAGAATAGATTTGTACATTTAGAATTAGGATTAAGAGAAATGAAAACCCTACAAAATGGCATTGCTTAAAATGTGTAATGATATAACCCCAGAAAGAGCATTTGTTTAATGATTACGCGCCCAAAATCCCATCGATTTTAAGAAAAGACCTCGTTTATTTGGTGGCTCCACGATGAAAATGGAAAAGAGAACGCAAATCGATTTTTTCCAGCCAGAGCGGTCATTAAAGGTGTGTTCTATTCTGCTAAGGACAGGTGAGCGTGACCTGGCAAATTACTTAATTAACGCACTTCTCTGACAAAGGCAAACTTGGTCTGCGTCCGTCAAGTTTTGTTGAGTATTTCGTATTTCGTATTTCGGGACCTCGACCTTGTTGCTCACAGACGAAACTGTGTGTAAATGCCACGGAGTTTGGCTGATGGTTTTCACTGACAATTTGACCTCTTGACCTCGCCGAAAGCAGCGAGATGTTTAAAATTATGGGTAAAAATCAATGGATTTCAGATGCTTCAATCACAGCCCAATTCCTTTCATGTGACCCATCGACAGCCCTCCATTTGTGAACTTAAGTATGCAGACTTTGCCAATTAGATACATGTTTTATGCATAAAAAGTGTCAACATGTCCCATAGACAAGCACACACATATTACTATACTAATACTGTAGAACGTTCGTTTCGCCGGCATGAAAAGCAAAAACAAGTTTTGCTGCCCCAATCGTGATCTACATTTCATGTATCGTGCAACAAGCTCTATGGCTTATTATTTATTGGCTTTTTGATAAGCCAAATTGCCAAGTGAGCGTCTTTTGTTACGTCTTTATAAAGTCTGCTGTGTTCGTGGAGGCACTCACATAAATCTTTCGTCGAAAGTCGTTTTGTTGACTTGTTTTTCAGTTTGATTTGTTTGTGACTCCTTGGAGTGACATAAAACAATTACCAGGAACTGTTTAAAATTGCATTTGCTATTGACTGTGGGCAAGCTGGAAAAGGCAAACAGGCCACACAAGCACAGAAATGGGTTCCCCGACCTGATTCTCTGTTTGAAACACTCTGTTTGCCCAGCCCAGGGACAATTCTCGCATGTCTGTCAACATAATTCACAAATTTGCTTTGCCATTCAATATTGCCGCTGGCTAAACATTTCCCGGGGAGTATAGATGTTCCAACCCATATTACGCATACGACTAGTGGTCAGGTGGCTAAACTCTACTGTAATGGATGTCGACAACTTGTCAGCTATTATTTGCCAAAGGGACATAACTAATTACGAGGAGTCACTACTGTTTCTACGGAGCATACGTATGAAACTATTGAATACATAATTATTTACTAAATTTTAAAAGGTTTTAGCTCTAGCGTCTTTTCAATGGTATAACAAACAATGGGTTTTCCAAAAGGTTTTGGGCTAACGAATTTTCTTCTTAACTTTGTTATGGCTTAAGTAGTCTTGCCACCAAATGTATAACAAATCAGTTGTACTCACTTCACGAAGGTATTATTTTCATAAATAATGCCACTTGCTGGAGCCATTCGTCGATTTCATTGCCGAATTTTGGTGTTCATTGTTGCAGCTACAGGTTATTTGAATTATTGATTGGATTGCAGTTAACATATACTTTTCAATGATTATGGCTTAACAATAGCACTTTACACACGCACAAAAACATTAGCTTACACTCGCTCTTTAAGCTAGATTTGAAAATATTTAACTTTGTTATTGAACTATACATATATGTATATTTGTATATATTTAATTCATTTAATTTGTTGTAACACATGTATTGAAATAACTGATGGTTTACACTTAGACAGCATTCGAATGAGATCTGAAAGTAACAGAAGAACAAGTAAATTAGATTTGGAATTAGATATTTCTGTCACATTCGCGCCCACCCACCCAAAACCCTTTATCTAATTTCCCAAAAAGCTATTCCGTGACCTTGCCAAAAGCATTAATAACAATTCCCTTCGTATAATTTGTTGTAAATGCACGCGTAAGCGCGCTAACCCAAAAGCAACGCCCACCGAACAATTTGATTGCACAATGGCTAGACACCAGCTACAACAACATTTTGACAGGATATGCTTACGTGGTCAGCGTGTGTGTGTGTGTGTGCGTTTACGTGTGTATGTGTATTAAAACACATAAAGGATAATAAAGGGTTTAGCTACGCATACAAATGATACATATACTTGTATATATCGGGTCACATGTGCTTGGCTGTACATTTTCATCAAAATGTTTCGTGCTGCACAGTGGTAGTGAATCAAAAGTATATATCTGATTCGAGTGCATTAGCTAAATTATCTATCAGGACATTAGAGGCTTTTTCGGGAAGGCTTTGTATGTCAGACGACCCAATCTACACACTTGGTATATAACTTCATTTTTACAAAATTTAACAAACTAAAATCAGTACAAAAACGTTTCCTAAAGAATAAGAAAGTTAGAAAGCTCAAATAGATTTGAAGGAAAACAATAAATGAATAATTCAAAGCTATCACATGAATACCATTTCCATTCCCAATATTTCCACATGTTATTTTGCAGTAATATGGCTTTTTCCACAAAGTCTCATGCCCTTTGGTTAATACTTTTTTGTTTTTCCACCAAACAGAAGCATCTGTGCCAAAGGCTGTCCAAAAGCGAAATTGAGATCCCATTTGTTCCATTTACTGCACGTTTCGGGCATGTTCGCCAAATTTCGAAAGTCACTTCAGCTGATGACATATGGGTACAAATATTTACATATATAAGAATGCGAGCTGTAAAGCATGTTTCCTCAAGGATTTAAAACTCGCGTAAAAATCCTTGAGCCGAAGAAAGCACCCGAACTGCATGTTTACGGTTGCCATAAAGTCCGATAATATAAAAATAAATTCAAGCTGACAATATCAGCGCAATAACGACTGCCTCCATTTACGAGTTGCCTCTGCTGTAAATACGCTGCTTACGACCATACGAAGGAATAAAAATAAAAGAAAATCATTTAAGGTAGAATTAAACTTTTCCGACTTGGGGCTTTACAAAATATAAAGAGGGAACTAGCAAAGCTGCTCGCTACTTTCCATGAATTGAAATGGAATTTAACTTCATATTTTTATACCGAAATATATTTATAGCGGTCCGCAAAAATATCGCGTTAATATTTATGCACCTTTAAAATCGTTCAAACTGCAATTGTTGAATAAATAATTCGTAAACCATTCAGACACTCGTCAAATTTTAAAGGCACATTAAATTATTCATTGGGAATATTTAAAAATTGTGGCTCCCCAGATTAATTAATTTCCTGGCAGTAAACGAATAAATTATAGCTCCTGGCTGTTTTTTCCTTATTTTTTTCCAGAAACCTGTGGCCCAAAAACCAGCAATAATAAAAAAACCAGAGCCTCACCCACGCAAACCGAAAATGTAGGTCAGCAATGTGAATTGAAAATCAGAATAAAAACAAAAACAAATACCACATACTCAGCCCACAGACGCGGGCGGGTGAAGTGTGTGTGTACTACGAGCTTTGTCGCAGTGTAAAATCAATTTTCATGAAATGTGCCACGCGTCGTATGAGTAATCAGCGGGTACAAGCCAAGCAAACAAAGCCAGGCACAAACAAAAAGCACACAGTATGCGCAATTCTTTATTGACGGCGGTAACATATTGTGGTATAAATCAATTTAGCGCTAATTTCAATAAACCAAACAGCCCCGTAAAATGCCAATTGATATAACTCGCTAAGTGGAAAAGATGGTGGACTAACACTCAGCTAACTAGTCAAAAATGTTGAAACCGTGACTACTTTTGCTAGCACTGTGGCCCAGTAAAGCAGGTTGTATCTATTTTGTATGGTTAATTGATAATAAAACCTTTTCACAAAATCAATATAGTAAGCACACATGTTGAAATAATTAAAATAAACCACTTAAAACTACATCCACCCAGAAGTATGCAAGAAACTTTTACCTTTTTATGAGTTTAGTTGAACTATAATTTCTGGTTCGCTTCTGTGGTGTCAATAGGTTGGCATTTATCTATATAATTGGAGCATTTTGTTGGAGATTCAGTTTCATTGCATGGCAGCTTTGCCCTCCGTTCTCATATCATCAGTACTATGATGATGAAGTAGCAACAACACATGAGAATCTTAAAGTTGGGCAATTTGCAGCCTTTGTGCTTTTGCTTGTTTTGCTTGGCCTGCAGCTGCAGTTGGAGTTGGAAGTGCTCGTAGCCCGATTTGGATGTACGGATGACTATGTTCTTTCCACCTTCATGGCCTCCGTCGCTATTGTCACCGAATTTGATGTCTTTGCAGGTTCTTATGCACATTTTCTACGATTGACCTTTGTTCAGCTACTCGGATTATTCTGCGAGGGAATTTATTTGATTACACTTTCACAGTTTCACAATGGCTTTTCCCTGTGTGCTCATTTCCCTTTGCAGCTTATACGCGCAGTTTGTTATCAAAGTCAGGGGATTTCATGGCTGCCAAACTTTTCCTGTAGCCATTTCAATAAAATATATGAAAAACCAAAGAAGAAGTTCAGTTAGAGTTAGTTGATCAAACATTTGCTTGCAAATAAGCCGAGAGGTTAATAAACATAAAATGGAAGCACCAACTTGAACTGAAAGGAAATACGAGGATTTCTCGTCAAGGAAAAAACAACAAGGAGAATACCACTGACCATGATTAACAAGCAAGAGGACTTCGCTTGGACACCCAGAGTTTGTGACTTTTGGAATTATAAAATAATAATGATGTGCTATTCCTCTTTATTAGCTTAGCACGAAAACTTTAAGTATTGTGATGATTATTTATTCAAATAAAAATGTTATAAAAATAATAAAAAAATGAATGTGAACCAATTTTATAGCCGCATACTGAATGTTGCTTGTTTTATTATTATTGCAGAAAGCACAACACTTAGAACGACTATTAAAAAAAAGTTTTATTTTACAACTTCACAGAATTTACAATTATAAAATTGTACACAAAAACCTTAAAAAAAAACTTGTTAGAATAAGGCCTCATGGTTAAAACAATTTCTAATTTTAATAGACATTTTGATAGAATATTTGTATATATTTCTGCGCTCTTTAAATATATATATATAAATATTTGAGTATGAAAAAACAAAATTGCCTGTTCGTACGATTTGACGATAGGTATTCGTATTCTGTGAAAAGTTGGCTTTTACTTTTCTTGGCCATGAAACTCTTCGTTGCCCCAGCTGTTAGCTTAATCGCGCACCAGTTTCAATCTACGGAACCGTATGGCGGGGCATAAAATATTAGCCAAAGCGTGAGGATGCTCCAGGGAGTCCTTCGAGCTGAGCGGAGACAAACGGGTTTAATTCAATCTCAATGGGAAATATCGCACATACGCCAGGTGCGCCCCACCGACAGGTCCACCTGGGCTTGAACTGGGATATAATTTTGCACAGGCTTGCAACTTTCACTTTCCACTTCATTTGACGCGAACTTTTGGCGCTGATATTGTGGCTGCTGTCAGTGCCAAATGTCGCTGTTTTTGCGTTCTCTGTGGCCGACTGGCAAACGCTTTGCTCGCTGCCGTTTTGTATACTAAAGGACATGGGTTTGCCACTGGATCGCAAGCAGCTGCGTCCTCAGGTCCTGTGGGAACACAACTCTCTCTGTGCTCTCCGGCTTTCTGGCTTCTCTGGCTCTTCTGGCTCTTCTGGCTCTCCAGACTCGACGGAATGTGTATATGCGCGCGCAGGAGCGTACGGAGAGTTGCCAACTTGGCCAGTTCCTGGCTCCTTGTTTATAACAACAACAGTTGGGGAGTGTATATAGGAGGGCCCTAAGACGTCGATTGTTGGCCATGTTTTCTAGCTGCTGGCTGGTATGCTGTTGCTATTGCCCGCTGCACTTAACTTGAACTTTTAGAGCTGTGTTGTCGAAAAGTTGGCAGCGGACTACTTCAAGGCTTTTTAAAAGATTTCACTCCACGCTGAGACATACAGGCGTTGGCCTGGCAAAAAAAAAAAACCACCAGCCCACCCTCGTGCATATGTGGCAGCTTCGTAGCTTCTTAGCCACATCCTCGCGCGGCTCACACGCCCACCAAACGACTTTGAAACAAATTCACGTTGGCCTTTGGCTTTGGCATTGGCCACTCTCATTAAAGCCAGAAGTTATTGTCTTATTTGGCATACAGAGCGGAATATATGTACGACCATAAGAAATACAGCCCATCAAGATGACTAATTTGATCCTTTCAGCTTAGTGTCTGTCAATAGGTCTATAATGGAGGCCAAACGACTGCTCACAATGTGGGCTAACGCCAAAAGCAGCCTTGATAAATACAAGTTCATTTTGAGTCAGTAAACTGCTTTGGCTAAAAACTGGTATATCAATTAAGTACTTTATACTAATACTTTAAGCATTTACCGGACTTTTTAAATGCATAAAAGGCTTCAGTGCAAAAATACCCTAATAGAAAATATTTTGAAGTCTCGAAGAAATTGCATTATCAAACTACTTGATGCTTTGCTTAAAAACAAAATCTTTAAGCTTTAAGTTTCCCACATACGTGCATATTTAAAATGAAATCTCTTCACGGCTTACTAAGGAATTTCTGGTTTCGTCCTTGAATTCTCGAAAATTGATTTTCCTCTAAGCAGAATATCCATCGATATACCTAAACAGAGTGCGGTTTGATTTTATTCGGATTTGTCCATAGCAATACATATAGCTGCTTTGCATATCAGCTTAACACTTAGCACTCCCAGAACCCTCCACCCCCCTCCCGGCCGTTCCGGGTGTTATACGGAATAAATTCGAGGCTGACTTGGATATTCAACGAATTATCATCTCGGAGTGCACGCCTCGGCTCCGTACGTGCCGTCGCCTGGCTTTCGCCTGTCCTTGTGCCATGGATGTCCTGCTCATCCTGCCGATCCCACTCGATTCCCAGTCCAGGCCAACACCCACTTCCTGTGGATGGCTGTGGCCACGGTCAAGCTGCTTATCTCGCACAAAACACTGGTTGCTTTGGCGAAAGAAAACGACGCGACTTGCCAAACAGGAACTGGAGCAAAAAATCGCAAGAGTGAAATGTCGAAATCTTTTCTATTCAAAGCGGCAAACGAAAAATAGATTGGCAAAAATTCTACACTGGTTTATAGTGTGCCAAAAATCAAGCAGCTTTTTCTCATATTCAATTGTTTGATTCGACTTTGCTTCAACAAGTTTCTTGTTGAAGAACGACCGTTTGGGTGAGTAAAAGCCTCTAGGTGGAGATCGTAAAACAATTCAGCAAAGGAATTCGCATACCCCTCGGCCACGAATAAGAACCAAGTTAGCGAGGGTATGAGAAGAATTACGGCCAAGGCAGTTAAAAGGCAGTTTTATATTCATTACAAGTCAAGCTGCAGGGCCAAAACAACAGGAACAACAAACGGTGGGGGGACCACCAACAAATGGCAACAGCAACATCAACAATTTACGACTCCAAACCGAGTTGTAGCTCTTTTTTTATAGTTACCATAGCTCAACTCACACAATAGCTAGTTCTTGTTCCTGACCACCCACACTCTTGAAATGGACGGTAGTAAAGAAGTAGAAAAATGTTAGGGCATTTTATAACTTTTAACCAATATTGACGTACCAATGTTTTGTAAATAAAAGCAATCAAAATCAATATAAATCATTTTCGAGTTGGTTACCTCCATATTCATTTTAACATTTAAATTAAAGATGGAATTTTTAGTAATTGAAAGAAACAGAAAACAGCAAAATGTATTTTTTATTTGATTATTTATTCTAGTAAAAGTTGTGATATTTTAAATACAAGCTTAAAATTGCAAGCCTGCTTTTTGGATAAACTTCCTTTAAAGCTGACATCTGATAACAATATTGATGCTTTTAAGAGCTGACTAAGCGATAACTTGTTAAGAAACTTAAACACTCAATTTGCGTGAAATTAAGTATAAAGTTATGAAATTTGTGAGTCAAATGCAAGAATCATAAAACGCTTTAAAGGCTTTTGATGAGTAAAATCTAACAGCAGAACTATTGAAGGACGAGCTCGCGCACCATCACTCGAGCGCACACATCCAGTATATAAAAAATGTATATATATTTATATATACCTATACATGCTGTAGACACACCTAAGGTGAAGCCTCAAGTTGGCTTAGACAACGGCAAAAATATATTGCAGTGGCGAAGCACGGGAACAGCTGAAATGCTGAAAAAGTGAAAGTAATGGCCAGGCCAAAACTTTTTCTTTCGCTTAACTAACCTGGCTGAAACTCTACTCCGCTCAGCTCATTCTGAAGGACTTTCGCAGTCCGCATTTATTCGTTTCTGGCCTGTGCCTTTTGCAATTGCTTATTTGTTTTGCGCTAAAAATTAAGCGCCCCGAAAAGTTTGCTGGTTTGCTAAATTACTTTACACGCCACTTGAACACGCAGGCAACGAACAATCCATTCAACGAACATGGGCCAAACACATTTAATTAAATTAAGAATAACAGATAATGCATAACAAAAGGTGAAACTTGAAATAAATGTAATTGCTCAAAATATAGGCTTAGATAACAGCTAACTATAAGCTAAAGGGGGTAAAATATTCATTTTTAATTAAATGGTTTTTTGTTTTAATAACAAATAATAACTAATTCATAAATGCACAATACTATTGACACCACTATTCAGACCATTCAAGGTCCTGTACATTTTCACAATATACCCTCCCTGACATCACACGATGTTGGCCACCCATCAATTATAATAACGATTGCCTTTCAATGGGAATATGTGATTGTTATCAGATACCGAGTACAGCAATTACCCTGCACACAAACTACAATCCATAGCGTTCGTTTCTCAACTGATAAGTGGCTAACTTGTCCAAGGAATAGCTCAAATAAAACAGGATACAGAAAGTAAAATGGATAAAATGGTTAAAGCCAGTTGGCTGCCTTGTATCGGCCAATTTCTGACCGTTTGCCATTAAAGTGTTTGCCACGCATAAACGAAGCTGCCTGATAAGAGATACATTTTTTTACATACTTTCGTTTAAAGTTTCAGGCGACGACAGCCATAACAACAAGGCGAGGGATTCAGCTTTTTGCACTAGACACGCACGTTGACATTCAGTTCCATTAAATGTGGTTTGATTAAATATAGCTGATTAATAGTTTAGTCGGCGAACAACACACGGATATACTCAAGCTCTTTTTAATAATGGAAAATTATTTATGTGTATTTATTTATCTATTCGTTTAAGGGTATTTTGGGTATTTCATTTAGCTACTGTTGCTGTTTGTTGCTTTGGGGTAATTCTTCTGTATATTATTGGTTCGCTTAAAGGTGCTGTGAGTGTGTTAACGAAATGAGGAAAGATTGTCTACTGAGCGTGCGAAACGGTTCCGAGTCCTGTCGAGCCCAAGGAGAGTTGCCTTCGCCGTACCACGGCGCGTATGTGTGATATGCGTTTCGTTTTGTTTTAGCAAAGTGCGCGCGCAAAATGCCAAACAGCTGTGCCGTCTCAGCTGCTGTTAAAAGGCTGACAGAGAGCAGTGGAGAGTGTGCTGAGAAACGGGCGAGAGAAAGTTGCCTCTCGGGCGCACGCTCACCGCAGGACGACGGGCTGCGGGGGGAGGGGGGGAGGGACTGTGTGCTAAAGTGAAAGTAGCCTTGTTGATTAACATCCTTCAGAGTTTACCCACATTGGAAAGGTCGCCAATTTCACTGATAATAACATTCGTCCATGCTGGCAATGCTGCGACAGCTGTTGCGAGAGAGAAGCGGAAACGGAAGGAGCGCACCGGAAGTGACTCGGCCAAGTGGTACTTCCCCAAATAAATTCAAAAGGTAAATATTGCTAATAGTCACAAGAAGGAAAAGGAAAAACCTTTTTATTTCATAATTAATATCAGAGAAATGTGACATCAGTGAACAAGAAAAAGATTAAGATTTACGATGTTGCTGAATAATATCCAGTGCTCAACTAATATATTATGTCACATAGAATAGCTATTGGTAGTTTTGTTTTTAAGTATCTAAACCATAAAAATAGAAATAATTAGCAAATTTTTGGTTTTTTTAAAAGAACGATTACTATTAAGTGGGAAGCTTAGCTCTTATAATCAATGCTCTTCTATTAACGTAAGCTACGTAAAAAATATAACAAATCATTTATAAGCTGAATTTGAATTTATAAGCCGAATTGTAACTCAAACCACAAACGTGACAGTATATCACCAGTATTAGCTATCCGAGAAATAGCATTTGCCAAATCGAAATCATTTCAGCTACTTTTACATGCCGGTTTGTACGCCGAACACGATTCCCAAGCAACCGGGAAAGATGACAAAGCCCAAGCATAAACGCTATATAACGCTGTGAATTCAGAAACTTCATCGCACTCAGCGAAAATTGACGAAATGTGGAACAAACCGTATATGGGAATAATAATTTTTTGTATGATGGCCAGCGGTGGAAGAGCCATACCAACCGAGTTGACCAGATACTCTCAGTTGGGGTAAATATTTCTAGTTTTTTACACTATAAAACCATAGAATATTGTACAACATTTGTAGACAAGGCCCGTTAGCGCCAGCCAACAACAGTGTGGTGTCCACCACTGATCATTTGGGTCTCCTGCATGAGAGTTCCTCGGTAGCTCCGGACTTTGAATACGCCCTACTCGGTGAGGATCCGCAGGATCAGCAATGGTTTCGCGTCAGTCTTACGCCAAAAACCAACAAAACTGTCTACCGGGCACAGTTTGCAACTCGAAAGCATCCGCCCTTCAATTCGGAAGTTGCCCACCGGCACGATAAGACCATTCAGGATCTGCTCAACTGGCTGGACCGTTCCGAGGATCAGAGTCTGTGGAAAGTTTATCGTGATCTATTGGAGTACACACCACAGGCACAGTCATCCAGCCAGGAGTATCCCAATGGTGACAAAATCGAAAAAGCGAAAAAGCTGTCCACGAAGCAGGAATGTCATAGGCGCAATCACCGGCTCCTCCTTGTGGATGACGAGGGAACCAGTACCACGACATCATCACCGCCAAGTAAAAGCCCAATGCAACCGACACATGAGTTGGTTTATTTCATAAAGGGGCCTAAGTAAGCCCCCAGATATCGTGATTCTGAAGATGGAACATTCGTATTTATAATATTAATTTGTACTTTGCAATAAAAAGATTATAAAATACATAAAATACAAATCAATAGATGAAAATTATATCAACGAATCTTTTAAAGTTTTTTAAAATAGGTACATTTACGGATTAAGAAATAAATAATTAAATCAAATTCAAAACTTTCCCTTTTACGGTACCTAAGTCCACAGAGTTCCTGAGCTTTAGGAGAAAAAAAGCTTTGACAAAACTCACCAAATATCTACCACTTTTACTAGCATTTCTCTTATACAGTAGTTAAAAGTTGTATAAAGGGCTAGGCCGGTTTGTTCAAGTTATTCAAATTGTCTGATAAGCGAAATGTGAACAAGTGAAATGGGGTCTTGACGAAGAATTGTCGGCCCAGTTAGCTGACACTTGCTGCTCTACTTTGTCTCAGTTTGGGTTGGGAAAATGAAAGAAAATCAAGTCAAGAGCATAGTCTGAAAGTTTGAGCTTGACCTGAACTTTGGCCAATTATTGTTTGGTTATTGTTTGGATCCGCTGACTGAGGCCTGGCCATGCCCATCCCTGTTGATCCGCTCCAGGCGCACATCCTCCAATTCGTAGGCTGGCCGATGAGTCATCTTGCCCAGCTTTTTGTCGTAAGCCAGCAGACTTGGATTAAGGCGCGTTGAACTGCGATCCCCCAAAGATGTGTAGCCCTGATCGTAGAGGCAGCAGTAGGGCAGATTGTTCAAGCGAAAATAGCTCCAAATGTCGTGGTAGCTCCACTCAAGCAGCGGGAAGATCCGCATCATCGCTGGCCATCCGTTGTTGGTAGGTGCCATCTCGCATAGATTAAGGCCTTCAGGATCGCTGCGCCGGCAGCCGAGGAAGATGGCCTTCAACTGGGAGTCCTCGGCTACCAGCTGCTCAAAGGCAACCTTAAGGCCTCCTTCGTATCGCCTTAGTAGTCCATAGCGCTGGACAGAATCATCCACGAACTTCTCCAGCTCCTCAAATGGATTCGCAGACTTCACGTAAACCGCTCCCAGGCGCACCGAGGGTGGCGTCATCCTGGCTAAAATATCCAGCAATACCGTGCAATCCTTGCCGCCATTAAAGGACAGCATCATCTCATTTGGCTTATACAAAGTCATGGCCCGTTTTATTATCTCTTCAGAGTGCTCTAGCTTTTCCCTCAATTGGTCATTCGACTGACTCTTTTTAACTGGTGGAATATGCAACCCACGGCTTGTATGATAATGACGGCAGACTTTGTGCCAAAATAGCGAGACAAGCTTCATTTTGATAAGATGAAATTTAACTCAAGCGCTTTGGTTTTTTGTATGAAAATGTAAATGTAGAAACATCTAATTTTGAATTTAAATAAAGCATCTCATGACTGCTAGATTATTATATTTCTCAGAAGTTTATAGAATATATTCTAAGTTGATGTTTTCAGAGCTTTCAAGGACTAATAGAAATATTTCTCCTTATCGTATGTAAGTTGTATTTAGCTCCGAATCAGAAATATGAAATCATTTATATATATTTAAAAATAAAAAAATAAATTAACATTTTTAAATCAAATAAGCAATTCCTAAATATGCACCTTGAGCTATGGCTAAATAATTTGGCCAAGTAATATGTAAATACTTAAAAAAAAATTAAACTAAATGTTTCGCTCATCATATAGTTTTTATGTAATTAAGCAAAAGGTTACTTAATCAACAGATTTAAGTAAGCTCGTAAGAAAGGTTTATGCAGAAACGATTGTTGCTATGCGAACAATTTCTACAATGCAAGGCATATTCGGCCCGCGATCACAAATTCTCGAGAAAAATTAAGATTATTGAACTAAATTCATATGTTACTTATAAATTATTTATTTTCATATATTATTATTATTACATTTCATTCAATTAAATAAAAGTTGTCGAAAACATTTTCATAAAATAATATAGATCAATACAAAGCTAAGTAGATTTAATTCTTGGTGCTTCAACAAATTTTAGTTCCGTTTTTTTATTAACTTACAATTTTGGCATGCGACAATTTGTTTACTCAACAAGTTCAGTGGCCCACAAAAAGTAGAGGAAATGTTTGTTCTTTTCGCTTTCTGTTGGCCATGCAGAAAAAGCGCCACTCACGCCGACTTCCAGGGGTCGTTGGGTAAACTGAAAACTTGGTCAGTGCTTGCCTCTGCACTTTTGGTGGCACTGCATCGGGTATAAAAACCTCGAGTGTCGAAGGCAGAAGCATCGCAGTCTGCTACCAACAGTCTAAGAAACCATCAACCAATCAACATGAAGTGCATCGCCATCGTCTCCACCATCTGCCTGCTGGCCGCTTTCGTTGTCGCCGATAAGGAGGACAAGATGCTCGGCTCCTCCTATGGTGGTGGCTACGGCAAGCCCGCCGCTGCTCCTGCTCCGTCCTACGCCGCTCCGGCTGCCGCTCCCCAGGCTTACGCCGCCCCAGCTGCTCCATCCTACGCCGCCGCTCCGGTCTCGATCCCGGCTCCTCCCTGCCCCAAGAACTACCTGTTCAGCTGCCAGCCCAACCTGGCCCCAGTGCCATGCAGCGCCCCAGCTCCCAGCTATGGATCCGCCGGTGCCTACTCGCAGTACGCCCCCGTCTACGCCCCTCAGCCCATCCAGTGGTAGGACGATCCACAGATGCCACTGGCCCCTGATCAACGACAACTGCAATGCTTAAAAAAATAAAAAAAAATATTTATGTTTACTCATAAAACTAGACCTTTTTCAATTTAATTACTTATGGGGGGATTACCATGAATGAACTAAGGCACTAAGGCATGCTTTAACACAAAACTCAAGAGTACTTAACAAAAAACGTTATAAAATTAGAGTTCCTTCTGTTTTCAGAGACTGAATATATTTGAATAACTTCATTTATCTGCATGTTATAAGCTTTTTATCAGAAATTAGGGGTTTATTAATTCATACTTAGAAACTCTTGGAAGTTTAACAACTTTTTAGATAATTCTGGTAAGTTTATCTTTAATTACTTCTGTTAAAATGAGAGCAATAAACGTTAACAAACTTTATGGCTTATGTATTAAAGTCGCTGAATGAAACAGCAGAAGCACTTGGGACCAGCTCACTATAAAGTTATAACTATATGAGTTGTTTACAAAATGAAATTAGTGTGAAATAATAATGGCAAATGTGAAGACATCAACAAAATTTAAATTCGTTTTGCTCGGATAAGAAGACAAGTCAATTCAATCATTTTCGTTGTTCTAAAAAAGAGTGGTTGACACCTCCTTAATAATCATCCGGATCAACTTCATCATCAAAGAATCGCGCTGCCTGCAACTGTTTTCTTATGGCTCCCACTTGAGTTAGGATTTTAGGCGATGATGTTGAAACGGTAAACTTTTGCACGGCAGGAACCTGTAAATAAACCGAGGTGTAAGTTTCTATATTTTATATTTGGTCTTAATGTATCCACTTACTTCCCAGCGCTTTTTTAGATTTTCAATCTTGCGCTGTCCATTTTCAGCCAAGGGTGCACCTGTCTCCTGTCGTGTCATTTTGGGCATCTCGCGCAGCAGAGGCATTGATAGATTGTGACCAGCCGCCTCCCTTAGAACAACATCTCTCCTTGCCAATGACTGCGGTGTCGTTTGAGTGCCCCGATGACGGGACTCGCTCTTGCTTCGATGCAAATCCGACTGCTTTAACTTTTGGTGTTGCTTGGCGGCCAGATCGCCGTAGTTCTTGAGATAGCGGGACAACCGCTGATCCGTCTGACGTCGTACCCGCTCCACAGCCTGCTCATCGGCGCTATCCAGCTCGAAGCTGGTGTTGGCACTACCCGAAGTCGCCGGCAGTTGTTCGAGGATAGACGGCTTTACCGGCGTAGCCTTATAGTCGGCATGGAATACCGAGTTTCGCGCTATATTAACGGAATACGGTGGCGATACATCGGCCAGATTACTCGCTGTAGAGTCCTTAGCTGGAGGCACAGCATAGTTCAGTTCGAGAACTTGAAAAGAATTGTTTGAGGGCGGATCTCCAAAAGATTCCTTGTCATTAACATGCGTGCGCTCTGTGTCTCGGCCGCAGGCAACTTCCTCCAGGCAAAACGAGCAGAGATTTCGGCGGCAGTTCATGCATACATTCCGTTCCCTCTGGCAAGCCCGGCACACATCGCTTTTGCTCAGGCACTGCGGGCACATGGCGTACAGTCGCTCGCACTTGTGACACACCAGAGCGTAGCTGCTCTGGCAGTTATGGTTGGGATCGTCCTCCCGAAAATCATCCCGATCTTGCTCCTCCTTACTCTCCTCTGAGTCTTCGCTCGGTTTTGTCCCATTTTCTCCAACCTGCTTGCTTTCCTTTTGCTTCAGTTTCAGAGCCAGTTTCCGCTGACATCGCAAACAGCAGCTCTCGTAGCTCTTCAGCGGTTCATCGCAAAGCGGACATATCTTGTCGCACAGATGGAAGCACTCGCGCTCGATTTTGGCCATTTGAGGCACCTCAAAGTCCAACTCAACGGCCGGCGGTAAGGGCTGACCGCGTCTGTACTCGTGATGTGCAGAGTTACTAAAATATTTGTACACCCGGTTGGTGTTGCTATCTGTGCTTATATTAGTGGCGTTGTTGGTTTTGCCTTTAGTGCGCGAGGTCCTGGGCGTTTCGGCTAGATTGTTGCTCTCCTTGGTGTGCAGCAACTGAGCATCCTGTTCCAGCTTGGCCAACAATTGCTCGCGCATCAAGCGGTTCTGTTCCGAGTCTATGCGAGCCTGTCCGCATAGTGAACAAAAGTAAGAGGAATTTTATGCAATTAATAACGCTGGACTCCAATGCAATTACCTATCATTAGATAAGTATAAACGAAATCAGGGGCCCTAATATTTCTATCAATTACAGTTAATACCCTCCACCATCATTTATTTTGGGCCCAATAGCTTATGAACATAATGGTAATACCAATAAACGACAATAGCACGTAATCGAATTTTCTGATATGTGATCTTAATCTAGTTATATAAATAAACTCAAGGTTCTACGCTTAACAAGTTAACGGTCGTTCAATACAAATGTATCCTAT